CCACCTTCCCTTATACCTTCCCTGTTCCGGAATTCCGCAACAAAGCCAGGGATAGAAACAGTCCAATAACTGGGGTTGATCTCTGAGCCAGGTTTCGCTCAATGTTACAATGGATATGAATTGACAGTGAGTAAAAGCTCATTAAACGTCGAAACCATGGACTGAGTATAAAGATGCATTATTTTTAATTGGCCTGAGTTAGAGCAGAGCGGATGAATATCAAGGCCAGGATCAAGAGATGCGGACAAATCGAGTGTATCATCCAACATTTCCGCTTCAGAGCACTTGTAAAAGGGCAGGGCAAATCCCAGACAGTTACTGCATAACCAGGTAGAAGAGGAGGCTGTCAGGCCGGAGCATTTCAGGAAAGAGCCAATACAACCACAGCAAGTTATGCTTGCTTGATTTCTTCTTATCGTTTTCTCACAGCAATCAAATTTCGTTATGTTTCGCTTGGCATTTGTTTTTTCTTTTGACTTTTGGGTTCTTGATGTCGCTGTTTGTACTAGCCTTTGTATTGCAATGGAGTTGCTATAATAAGCAACCGGCGTTTTGTAATATCGCGGACGCTTGTGCCTTTGTTTACATCGATGAGTGCTGGACCATATAGAATCCATTGTAGCGAGGGCTTCGCCATCAAAAATTATTGAAAAACTTTTACTACTAGCCGCATTTGAGATTCCACAGAGCAATATAAACGTCTGAGAATTGTCTTGAAATGTAGAAAAAAATTAACCATTTTAAAAACAATCCAATAAACTCTGTCTACGCACGTAAAACCAAGACGCACGGCGTCCAAGCAGCTGTTGCTGTGATTATCCACCCAAAAGGGAACCATGACCATGAGTTACTTCAAAGAAAAGATAGTGTTATCCTGTAAAGAGGTAGAACATTGACATTTCCTTCTTTCTTAGGAACGTATGTAGAGCTGTTGATGCGTGTGCAACAACTTTAATCCATAAAACTAGATAGAAACCAAAGATGTATAATATATCATGATATCTCGTATCATTGATAAGATTGACTGTTAACTAGCTGTAGCAAAAGGTATCAGTCAATAGCCGATTATCATTCATTTTCTGTGATATTATCATTCAATGATTGATTTCCGTTTATCGTCATCGTCAGTTTAAAAATAAACACCGACAGACTTGTTGCTCATTTAAATGTTTCATTTTAGCCTGTGACTTATAGTAAAAATATAAACCGTCTTGTAACAGATATGATTCTTTTTTCACCTTTGCTATGACGACTATTGAAGGTTTAACAGGGAAGTTTAGTATTATCAGCTGAGTTGATAACGTAAATTGACCACCGTAAATAGTTGAAAAGCTGGTCTTTCGAAACCAGCTTTCGAACGTTAGCCCCTCGTTAGAGCGATTGAAAGAATTCTGGGTTGCGTGTGGGTTTATGGAGAGAATGGAGCAACGCTATCGGTGGGAATATGGTCGAAAAAAATTTTTCAGTCAATAGAACGCCCCCAAACCTGAACTCTACGTTCGCCACATTGACGACTGCATCGGCGTTACCTCCCCTACCAGAGGAGGTTTTCACTTAGTTTATAACCGCTGTCAATTCCTTTCACTCGGCTCTGAAATATACCAGGGAAATTTTCGACACCTCTTTAGCTTTTCTAGACATCAAAATTTCAGTTGAAGGCAGCGGTTTATGTGTTAGTGTTTAATACAAACCTACATAATCACATAGTTACTTGTTGTATCCATCTTCGCATCCATCATACGTCAAGAATTCCATACCCTTTTCCCAATTTCTCAGACTTCGTCGTTTATGTAGTGACGACCCTGATTTTTACGAAAAATCAGAGGCAATGTGACAGTTTTTCGATAAACGCGGCAATCCTGTGTCTGTCGTTTAAGCGGGCCACCACCGCGCCCAACAAATTGATCGAAAATCGCTAAACACTTTAATCTCTTTCATCATTCTGAATGAAAGGTGCCAGGAACCTCATTTCAGATAAAATATTCAATGGAAGAAATAAATATTAAATGGCTTTTGGAGCATACTTCTGTAAAACTAAAATATGACCGGCCCCTTTTCTGTGCTGTAAAAAGTTGTCTAATTCCTCTCATTGTTATCCATGTCTTAGCGAATTGTTTGAACCATCAAGAGGCACACAAAAAGCAGTTTTAAATAAGCAAAAAACCAAACCTTCCAACGGTGGCCAGAAATTTTTTTTTATGAGCTTTTTCCAGGATATCGTCTGTGTGCGGTCAGTTTCTTGTGAATTATTTTTGATTCGAGTTTTAGTAGTTAGACAATTTTCACACGCACAGTTTATTCTTTGAAATCTAACAACACGTTGAATACTAAATTCCGTTATAAAATTTCTAATGGTAGAGATGAAAATCATTATGTTTTTAGAGCATACTTCTCCTAGGCCCGTGATTAACCTGTCGTTATCCTGTCAATATCCTCAAACAAGTGGATAGTTTATATTAAAGTTTACACGGCAGCCAGGTGGACAACCAGACATGGTTTGATGCTACTCTGGTTTACAGATTTAATGAATGTAACCGAAAAAGTTACAATTCATAGACCCAACGTTTCGACACCCCAGTATAGTGCCTTCATCAGGGGGGGTCTAAACGCTGCAACAAGAGGTCCTTTTAAATGATCACTAATTAGCTGCCTTTTTTTTCTTACGAGGTGTAAATAGTGGATAAATAAGTAGATGGTTGTTCGCCACCTGATGGTTGGGAGACTAGGTACTAGTGGTGGGCCGCCAGCGGCCTTCTGTTGAGACCATGCGCACTTTCGTTTGCAGTGTCATGGCGGATAACTTGTAGAGGTTAATGAATAAAGCTTGTTTCAGTGGAAAAAATTAAAAAAGGTTTGTTTTAAAAAGATTCAAAATGGCAAAGGCAGACGTAGAAATGAAAGAAGAACCTAAACAGAACGATTCAGCAGAATCAGAAGAACCGAAAGCGGAGGTCTCGAAGGAAGAAAAAGAGAGACTCGTTTTGGAAGGTAAGTTTTAACGCTGTGTCCAGATGTCCGGCAGCCGAACAGGTTTTTGAAGTTACTCCGTGTTCAGCAGCCGGACAGGTTTTGGAAATGACGCCGTGCCCGCCGGTCGAATTTATAACAGTACAGAAGTAATTTTAAAATACCGAAAAGGACCCTCTCGTATGGGCATTTCTGCGGCCATTTCAAATCAGTGGAAAACGTACGACAGTCTGTTGAATAACCGTTATTCTTTAATGTTAGGGTAGGACTTGAGGATTTTATAAGAGTTAGTTAAGGATTATAAACTTTTAGGATAATTTTGCAGATGAGAAATTAAATTTTCGTAGTTGTAAAAGAGAGAGAGTCGACGTGTAGTCAACAGCGATAAAATTTACATTTAGTCGTTTGATTTGATGTGCAATTGTCTTCATGTATTTCTTTTTTTAGATCTCAAAGATCAGGTCAAGTACATAGAAAAGTCAGTGTCATCCAAGGAACCACGGTTTCTAACCCGTGTTCTAAGAGCCATTCCAGCAACAAGGAAGAAGCTTACTCATCCAATTCTCAGAAAGCTTATTTGTGGCTTTTTTCCCAATTGTAAGTAAAGAAGAACAGCTGCAGCCTACTTGAGGCTTTCTTTTACCGATTGTGATTAGAGAAAAACAGTTGATTTATATCACAAACTAAAATTTAGGACCTGTACCTAAATACAGAGATCCAGACGGAGCTTATTTAGTAACATTGATTTATTTTTCTTGGAATTCTCTAAAGATTATCTTTTTTACAGCATCAGTTGCAAGAGATGGCTTGTTGGCTTTTCTTGATGAGGTTAGTTGTTTTTTCCCAAAAGTTTTTATGATGCATTTATAAATGACTGTGAATCTTGGTTTTAGATTTTGAAATTAATGTATGAGACTCAGAAGGCCAGTTATTAAAACAAAGTTTAGCCACTGTTCAATAAAACCATATTCTTGAATTTAGCTGAATCATTAAGGAACATTAATTCTTGTGAACAGTGTCAAAGGGTGCAGAGAGCTAGCAGTGGAGGGACATTCATTTAATGAAAGCAACTATCTTATAGAGAATACGTTAGCTCCACTCCTTGCATAAATCAGTGATTAAGGTTTGACCTCATGTGTGTAACTGGCCCAGAGGGTCTTTATTGTTTTTGTTGACTGTAACAACTTGATAACAGTGGCAGTATTATTAACAGGTGCCAGCTAAATCTAAGAATGCTATCATCTTTGAAGTTAGATTTCAGATTTCTTTATTAGCTTATGTTGATTATCAAACCTTTATTTGTATAATTTCAAGTTTATGAAACATCCCTTTACTAACTGAGTTTGTGGTCTGTATTGTAAATTACAGACCAAGTTTTTCTGCTCTGATCTTTGTTCTTGTTATGTGAGATGCAGGGTCAAAAAAGCTTCACAAATTCTTTCAGAGTTGTTTGTTTCAAATTTGTTTGTTTGTTTGTTTGTGAACCATTTTTCTTTCCATGATGGGCTGAGGAGATCACTGATCTGTGTGGGAATGTGAAAATGACCATAGACATCAGTACAGGGCACAAAATTAAAAAAAAGACCTTCTGCTTCCAATTTTTGGGTTTGTGGCCCAGAAGTCTGTAATAAGTTGTTGTACCATAATTCCATTCTATCTTGATCAAGGTAGACCTTATGGAGCTCTAATAAAAACTGTGTAATGCAAAGAATAATCAATTATGAAAATAATGGAAATTTAAGACCTAAAAGTGACAGAATTAGCTTTGGAGTAACGACAAATGCGACTCTTAAAAGCAACAAGGACTATACAAGACTCTACAGCATAACAGATCAAGGCTTTGGAAAATGGGATGGAATGGAAACTGTAACAACTTGCTGCAGTCTTATACACAAGCCCACAAATATTTGAAACAATAGATTTTTGTTAATATTTTGTACATTTGGGAATGCCTATGCTCATTTTCACATTCCCACACAGATCAATGATCTCCTTGGCCCATCAGGGAGAGAGAATAGGTTTGGCAACATACAGTTTTCAAAGAATTTGCAAGGCTTTTTTGGCTCTGCATCTTGCACAACAACAGCAAAGATTGAGACTGTGTGAAACATGCCCCATGGGGGATCTGGTGAAGGGTTGTTAAATCCCAGCATTCATTTAGACGCAGTATTAGCAAAGTTGAACACTCAAACAAGCTTTGGAATTTGGTGTACTATAAAATGAAATATGTCCCACTAAATTGAGCAATCATGGCATACATACTAACTGAGAGATATAACACAATAATTTCTATGTGTTAGAGTACCAGCAGTGGTACTACCGAATCATTTTAGTGTGTTAAGTTATAGATCTTGTTTTTGTGTTTTTAGCCAATGGAATCAGAACCTGGAGTACCATTCAGACCACGTAGTGCTCGGTTGATAGCCGCTGCAGCATTACCTGAAGTTGAATTTTATTTTCACCTGTTGGTTTTGATTCATCTTATTGATACAGAGTGTTACAAGGAGGTAAGACTCCTCAAGTAATTACAAATTTTGATTCAATTTAAATTAATTTAAACATTTTCCTATGCTAAGAGAGTACCGTTAAAAAGTATTTTCACAGTCTTTTGAGACTCAATTGATGTTTCTCCAGAACTGTGAGGATCAAGGCTGTGAAACAAAGGACCTTTTTTCCTGTTTAATTTTTCACAGTGCTAAAAGCTTCCTAGGTTTATGTCAATTTCATGGGGTAAGAAATGTACTTTTATATTACTTCATACCTGATAGAAGTTTCTTCTCAAATGTAATCTTTATTGGCAGCAGATAAGTATTAAAAATTGTATGTTACTTTGGTACTTCTCACAAATATTACTAGTTTTAACCGTAGTCTTTTTATTATTATTCTCATATTTAGATATGCTGAGTTTTATAGTTGTCATAATGATGGCTTGATGTTCTGGGAGCTTTTTTCAAGGGCTTTCCTTGTCAGCTGACTTTGCATCATGATTAATACTTATGAGAGGGTCAGAAAACACACATAACCACCCCTTAGAAGGTTACAGAAATTCTGAATAGGGGGAGAAGGGATGCCTAAAAATGAATGCGTTATCTGTGTGATGATTAAGGATTTTTTGAGTTATTTCACTCAAACATGCGACAACAATTGAAGGGCCAGGTGGAAGATTGAGTTAAATATCAAGGTTTTGTTCTGTAAATATAAAGCATTGTGAAGGATGCTACAGTAGAAAAACCCTCCATAGGAGAGAGCTAGATATCTTGTTAACCACTCAAAACATTTTTTTTGCATGACTGTTTCAGGCTGTTAAATGTTCAGAACTGCTGATGCAGCGATCTTTAGGACACAACAGAAGGACATTAGACCCCCTTCTTGCCAAGTGTTATTTCTATCATTCTCGTGCTTATGAACTGGTTGACAGACTACAAGAAATCAGAAGGTACATATGCAGAAGTTGCAGCTTAAAAAATGTGCAGGGTTTAATTTTTACAAATTTTTCTGTAGCTATGCTGCAAAAATGAATTACGGTCAACTCGCCGACGGACCAACTCGCCGACGCCAACTCGCCAACGTATAAAATCGAGTAGAGACGTCAGCGAGTTGGTTGTCAATCCAATACAACTTATTAGAAGTTAAACATACAGAAAATTAAACAATATTTAGTAAAAAAAACACTGGTGAACATCGGTGAACATCTAACAGAAGCTTAAACATTGGTGAACATTGGTGAATATCACCAACGACTATAACAGCTTAAGACGCGAAAGAGTTATTGTGCGACAACAACACCGTAAAGACTCATCATGTCAATCGCTCAGATTTTTTAACGAAAACTTGGCTTTCTAGACGAGATCTTTAGTAAAAAGCATTTCTTTTTATTTGCAACAAAGTTTATAAAGATATCAAGGCAAATAAAGCGAAGCAGTTCTTTTTATTTGCAACAAAGTTTATAAGGATCTCAAGGCGAATAAAGTGAAGTAAACATCACCGATGACTCACACAACTCATTGGCGTCTACAGCCAATTTTGTTCATTGGCGATGTTAACGTCGCTTTATTCGCCTTGAGATCCTTATGAACTTTGTTGCAAATAAAAAGAATTGCTTTTTACTAAAGATCTTGACTAGAAAGCCAAGTTTTCGTTAAAAATCTGAGCGATTAACATGATGAATCTTTACGGTGTTGTTGTCACACAATAACTCGTTCGCATCTTAAGCTGTTATGGTCATTGGTGATGTTCACCAATGTTCACCAATGTTTAAGCTTCTGTTAGATGTTCACCAATGTTCACCAGTGTTTTTTCACTAAATATCGTTTACTGTTCTGTATGTTTAACTTCTAATAAGTTGTATTGGATTGACGACCAACTCACCGACGTCTCTACTCGATTTTATACGTCGGCGAGTTGACTGGTTACCACAAAAATAAGTCCCACCAAAAGAAAATTCCATAAATTGAAATGCCACAAAAAATTTACGGTGATCAGTCAAATGAAAACTTTGCTTGTGAATCAAGTGTTAATTGGTGTTCTTTGTATTTAGACTCAGGCCTCCCAGGAAGCACATTTACTCAGAGCATACACAGTGCCTGTACACATATTTACATTTTTACCTTTTGAACAGAAGAATCTTACTAGTACAGTAAAATTCAAATTTATGTACAAATTTACTTCGAGTATTAACATGTGTGTTGGTCCAGAGTTAACCTGTTTTGTTTTTTTTTCTTTATTTCCTGTCCCAGCTTTCTACTAGCAAGATTGAGGACAGCTACTTTAAGGCATGATGATGAAGGACAAGTGAGTACTATTCATTATATAAACAACAAATGTGGGACTGTCTCTGCAGTGTGCACTATTTCAGAGAGCCTTTACCACAAAAATGCTGTCAGTAGCTTTACTGTGGGGTTTTCACCCTTTAACTCTCAGAAGTGATTGATATTTAACTTCTCCCTCTAATATCCAAGCATTATCCAGAAAACAGGTAATGAGAATACCCAAACTCATTAGTCATAAGATAGAGGGGAGAATTAACAATCATATCTTTGCATTGGGTCAGCTGGGAGGTAATCAGAAAGTTTGTTTACTATACAGAAAAATGTTGACACTTTTTCTGGAGCTTATAATTCATTATCTTTCCAGGCCATTCTTTTGAATCTCCTCTTAAGAAACTATCTTCAGCTGAACTTATATGATCAGGTAAGAAGTAGAGCAACCTGATAAAAAACTCCATTAAACATTCATGACACTAGAAAGAATGCTGCAGCATTGCAATCCAATTGGTTTTTGTCTGCTTAATTTATGTCAGCTTTTGTCCTCCTTTGTCAGAGCTTCATCAAATTGTGCTAAGTAACCACAACAAGTTTATTAAATGGTCCTCCAAGCTAGTGGGGAAGATACCAATTGAAGCAGATACAATAAACATCTCTCTCTTCAGATTAACATGAGGATCCCCTTTACTTTTTACGTGAAGCATGATCAGGCTTTTTTCTTTGTGTGAATCATCTCTGTGGTTAGGTCTTGACCAGGGTTTTGACAAGAGATGGACTCCAGATGGAAGTCAAAAACAGACCAGTAACGATTCGTGAAAAAATGAGATAAGACATCATGTCATCTTTTGTAGCATAAGACTGGTCAAGACTAGAAAAAGTGAATTATTAATTCAATGTTATTGTCTTGAATTTTGTGTGAAGAGAAACAAGTTTTTGGTATTTTTTCGTGATGCATGAAAAGGTCCAATATTTTTTCAACACAACAGAGTTTTTCAAAGGAGTATAGGGGACCCTTTAACATTCCATTCCCAACCACATGTAAAAGAGTCAACTTTTCAATTGTGTAGGCTGAGAAGTTAGTGTCCAAGTCATCATTTCCAGAGACAGCCAGCACAAATGAATGGGCAAGATTTCTGTACTATACTGGTTGGTGAAGTGTACACATGTGCAAATTTATTAATTTTGTAAATACATTTTTCCTTGTAAGCTAATGTGAAAGGTAACAATGATGATTAGATAACTTTAACAGGGCGTGAAATTAAATTTTTTTTCTGATAGCCACTTGGCTCCTAAATTCCTCAAAGTGTTAGCCAATTAAAAAAAAGTTGGTCGCCATTTTCAAAGACAAACAAAAGCTTTTTTTACACTAGATAGACCCTCCAAAATTAAGCTAGGGAAAACATCTTTCACATTCTACAAAGTGGATGCTAGGATGGATGATATACAATGATCAAGCTAACCCAATGGCTTCTAGTTATCAATTGAGATGCAGGTGTTGCATTTTGGAAACAAACTTGACAAGGAAGTTTGCTGCGGATTTATCTTTACAAATCTTTTAACGCACTATATCTCTTGGTTAGGTTATGATGAAACATTCCAGGATTTGGTTGCAAAAGTGAAAAATTTAGTCACATTAGCACCTGTATTAGGCGCAATTTCACACCCTGTTTTATGTTGGTTCTCTGACACTTTCCTTTTTCCTTGAACCCCAGGCATTATCAAAGCTATTCAACTTGACTACTCAGAGGCTCACAAAAATCTTCTGCAGGCCATAAGGAAAGCTCCACAGCAAGCTGCTATTGGATTCAAGCAAACTGTGAGTAGATTGAACCAATGGCAAACAAATTTTTTTTTTTATTTTTTAATATGGTTATTATCATTACAATAGAGTTACTTATAGAAACTTATTTTATGGTATGAAAATGAAGGCAGATGCTATATTGGGACCAGCAGTTACTGAGTGACAAAACAATAGAGACACTGAAGACAGCACACTGATGTCTTCAGTTGCCAAGTGTTGTAATCCTATATCTGTTAAAGTCCTTGGTTGCCAACTTTGTGTCAATATAAATTTTATTCAAAGAACAATTTTCCATCTGGTCAAAGAGTATATGACTTACAAAGGAGTCACCTTATTTCAGTCAATGGGTATCTGTTATTTATGGTATTTTGGTAAAAAAAAATTAAAAGTGTTTCCAACTAAAAATGTAGTCACTCTTGTATTTTGTGTTTTGAGCAAAAAAAATACCAATGTTACTTTTTTAAAATAAATATTGAACTTTAAATTATTTTACCAACATCTAATTGTTGTGTGAGACCTGTCTCATTTCCTGTCTGTGCAAGAGGTTTTAGTTTGCTGGTACCTGGTAGTCCTCATGTAACAATGAATTTTTTCATGTAGGCACACAAATTTGCTATTGTTGTTCAACTGCTTCTTGGTGAAATACCTGATAGAGCCACTTTTAGAGAACCATTTCTGAGAAAAACTCTTGTTCCTTACTTTCAACTTACACAAGGTGAGTATGCCCTGTTGATATGATATAATATGATGTGATATGGTATTGATAATAAAGCACTTGGGATCATTGAGGGCGGGTATTGAAGCTTTTGTTGTACTCAAGCATAATAGTCAAGATATAGTTGTGTTCACAACTAGTACCTTTGGTGTGATAACAGAAGTTCTCTTTTTGTTCTTTCATCCTTTACTTCTCTCTTTACTTCTCTCTTTACTTCACTCTTTCCCTCTATGTCAGAGGGTCACACGCCACAAGGTTTGGATTGATATTTAGAATTTGAGCCCTTAAAAATGCTTCTTTGGTTTTCTTTTTGGGGTCAGAGTTGGTTCCTTAGGTGCTCTGTAAACATTCTTGGGAACAAACTTGCCTGAATTTATCATACCTCATGATTCAAACCAGAGGCTCTAGAAACTTAAGCAAGTTTATATAAGTTTCTCTTTGAAAAATTAAACAATTATCTGCCTCAGGCTCTGTGAATATTGTTAAATAATCCCCAAGAGTAGGGAATTATTCATCAATATTCACAGAGCCTGAGGCAAGTAATTCTAGTATAATTGCTCTGGTACTTTGAATTCTGTTGGAAATCCATTTTGTTGTTGAAACCATTCTGTCATAATTGTTTTGATTCCACATATCAAGATGAGCAGCTGGTTTTAACTAAAATTTAACAGGTTTATTTAATTCAGCAGGCAAAAACTTTATATCTTTCTTTTGAAAAGGGTAACATCAAACTGAATAGCACCTTTTGTGCTCTTCAGAATTTTGTTTTTTCCTATTGTGTTAATAACTTCCAGCACAGTCATTTTGTAATTTAGCAACCTTGCTATAATCACCCCAGGAGAGGTGATTATAACAAGATATGATACAATCCTTGGCCAATCAGAGTGCACACATTTCTATAATCACTGGAGCAATAATACTAAAACATCTTAGACAAGCCAGGATCCTGACTGCATTATGTTAAATTAGTTGTCTCCCGTTGTCAGAGTGTATGAAGTGACCAGCTCATGAGGTACACTTTGGGTGGGGAGAAAAAATGATTATTGCTTTCCATGATGAGCAGGCAGGAGATTGTTTCTGTGATTGCCTTTTTGATGGATAACAATACATTTATCTCAGTTAATTCAATAAATGAAAGGTGTTAGGAGCAACAAGTGTTAGATTGTCTCTCTAATTTATAAGCAAATGCTGTAGTTTGCCCAAGACTTGGAAAGGTAATTGAGAAGTTTATCAAAAGTAACTCTGGGCTTCATTCCAGGGTGCCGATACAACTGCAGCATAAATGTAGCATGTTACGGTAGCTGAAAGTGTTGTCATATTTTCCATCCTGAGTGTAAAATTTCTCTCACCAAACTATAAGAAACCCAAGTACCTGCTGCTCTCCAATCTGAGTGGCCTGGTTTACACTTGGGTTAACTCCATATATTTATCTTGATCTGTGTTTGTATCCAGGGGGGGGAAGGGTGGCAACAGTATAGTTATTAGATGTAAGCTTTGTCAGAGATTTAAATTTCAAAGCTCAAGTACTATTGAACAATTCTAGTCAAATGCTCTATTTTTGGGTATTGATATTCCTTTTTCCTTATGCATTTTCATTACTCCTGAGTATGATTATTTTTATTTTGTTAACAGCTGTACTGAATGGAGATTTGAAGCTCTTTAATCAAGTTGTGGACAAGTTTAAAGAAAAGTTTCTGTCAGAGAAAACTTACACCCTAATCATAAGGTCTGTTTTTTGTTACATTGTGTCTCAGGTTTTTATCTGTGATAATTACAAGCATTTGTTGCTATGGAAACTATCAATCACAACTTAGTTTTTTTCATGAATGGTTTGGTCAATAGGTTGCGGCACAATGTGATCAAGGCAGGGGTGCGAATGATTAACCTATCATATTCACGCATTTCCCTGACTGACATTGCACAGAAACTGCAGTTGGATAGCCCTGAAGATGCTGAATTTATTGTTGCTAAGGTACTTGTAATTTGTTTGATTTTCTTCTTAAAAGTGTTTGTAACACTTTGTCATAAAGCTGTTCTTGTTCTGTTCATGTTAGTGACCTTCTGTATCCTTGTTTACTTTGAAATAAGTACTCACATAAATTGGCAGCCAGAAACAGCTACTGGTATGTTGGCTTTGTTAGGACATGTCAGCATGTTAGAGCAAATGTGACTGCTCAGAGTTCCCACAAAGAAAGGTGTAAAGATATCAGCATGACATCAACATATATGTAACCATGGGGAAAAAAGGATGAAATTGCTTTTATTAGTACTTATCTTTGGAATTGCTGACTCTTAGTCAAAGCTGTCATCATTTAAAAATAAGGCACAAGAAGTTAAAAAATGAATACACAATGTTCTCTTGGCAGGCAATTCGTGATGGTGTAATTGATGCCACAATAGATCACGAGAAAGGCCATGTTCAGTCTAAGGTAAGGTGTATTCATTTGCTGAGAATAAAATGAGTAACTTTTAACTCCTCACCATTGTATCTTTGTATCTTTCAACGTTCTTACTTCGTGATATACAAGTTACTTCCAAGAAGAGCTACAACAAGTGGGGTTCATTTTTAATCAACGTACTGTAACTATGGTATTAGGGTATTTCATGATATATGTAAATTGTCTTTACAGGAAAATGTGGACATCTACTCTACTAATGAACCACAAGGAGCTTTTCATCAGAGAGTTAGTTTCTGTTTGGATCTTTACAATCAGTCTGTCAAGGTAAGCAGTCAATGTATACTTAACCAATAATATAATCAGCCCGTTGGTGATACGAGAGCTTTTTGATAGAATTTGGACATTCCCACGTGCCCGTTAATGATTGTATTCCTTACATGAGGATTGATATTGAACGTGTAACTTCAATCACGTTCTCTGTTTCTAGCCAAGGTCCACAATTTTGACATATAGCGACATAAAATAATCATTGCATTTTTGAGCCCACCTCAATCAATTTTCTGAAACCTTCAAGATCGTCCCCGTGCTCACCATAATAAAACCCTGGAGATTTTTAGCTTATTGCTCTGTAAATTTGTAAGAATGCTTCTATAGAACAGTAATCACCTCCACATTTTACTGGTATAAATTAATATTGCCTCTGATAGTTAACATTGTTGTATTTGTTACTTTGTCAAGAGATATTTCTTTACTTCTACCATCAATGTAGGCCATGCGATTTCCACCAAAGTCTTATAGCAAGAATTTGGAATCACTCGAGGTATTGCTTGCATTTTTTAATTTCTTCTTGTAAGAATGATAGTTAATATCTGAGTAAATAACGGAAAGACTGTCATGGAAAGGGAGATACTTGTTCTCTGAGAACTTAAAATACATTGTTTTCAACTTAGCGTGTTTTCTCTCTCTATTCCTTCGTTAGGAGCAACGGGAAAGAGAAAAGCAAGATCTTGAACTTGCCAAGGAAATGGCTGAAGATGATGACGATTTTCCCTGATTTTCCCGATGAGCTATTGTCTGTAACCCATGTGGTGGTACTTTGAAGCCAATAAATGCATTTCTAAAGAATTAATTAGCTTTGCCATCATCTTCACTTAAATGAAGTGGAATAGTGTCATACGATCTCTGACAGGCTTTGAAAAGTTATTATAAATGAAATGCTGGTTTGGTCAATGATGCGCTCCAACAAGCACACAACTAAACTTCCCAAAATTTGTTTGAAGCTCTTATAAACTAAGAAGCAGAAAAAGTTTGATAGACTCTTACAAAAATAAGAAAAGGTTTGGATAGAAGTCGGAAAACCGGGTTTGGGCTGTTTACAAATTGAGTGACGCTAACCCTGGGTTGCCTTAGGAGACACATTGTCATGGCGTTTCGAGTGTTAGCCCCTCATCAGAGTGACTCTGACGAAAGGCTAACGTCGGCCTAGAAACTCTTTACGGTGGTCAATTTACGTAAACCTCTCGGTTGACAAAACCGAATTATTTTGTTGTACTCTCACCGACGCAGCTCCACATTTTCTCTAGAGACTTATCTCCTTTATTTATTTGCGTTGCCAACAAGATTGGATTAGTACTTATCGCCTTATTCTCGCCTTGGCCTCGGACAGGAATTAGAGGAGAAGAGCATAAAACAAAAATTTTCTTAAAGGGTTTCTTGTAATTTTGAACAATCGTATGAGATAACAAATTGTACACAAGTCTCCGAGGGACTTCCTCAAATTTTTATTTGGAAACACGTTCCATTCGGGGTGTTTCAGTAGAAGATGCATCTTAACATGTTTTGCATTGCTACAACACTTGTAAAGTAGAATTCTAACCTTTATAAGGCCTCGTATAAAAACAAAGGGGTTAGGGAAAACTCAATACAAATATGAACCCCCCCTCCATACAGGTGTTATGTTAGTATCTCGTACACTGTTAGGGTTCTCTTTTGATGGATTGCAACGTTATCTCGTGTACTGATAGGATATTCTTCGCGCTCTTATTAGGAGGGGTTGTTACGTAAATATTTCGCCCAGTGTTACGATTATATTTTGTGGTTGTTACGTTGAAATCTCGCGCACTGTCATTATTCTCTAAGGATGGGTTCCTAGGCTTGTTTCACGTACTGTTGGCGTTCTCTTTCGGTGGATTGTTGCATTAGTATCTCGCACACTGTTAAGAATCTCATTTGATGGATTGTTACGTTAGTACCTCGCGCCCCTTTAGCATTCTCTTTTGACGGATTTTAGGTTAGTCTCCTTGTGTATACAGTTAGGATTCTCTTTTCCTAGATTGTCACTGACGTTAGTAGTAAATCACGTTAGTATTGCAAACACTATTAGAATTCTCTTTTGATGGATTACTACATTAGTATCTCGTGCTCTGTAAGGATTCTATTTTGTTTTGTTGCAGGGTTCTCGTTGTTTCTAATTTGCCTCGCACTACGGGTTCGTGGAAATACGGCACAAACCGTAAAAATACGTAGCGACACTACACACTAAAACGTCTAATAAGATATATATCCCACCCAATGTTAGGACCCTCTCTTGAGGGTTTGTCACATTAGTATCTCGCACTGTTTTAGGATTCTCTTTTGATGGATTGCTACCTTAGTATCTCGCGCACTGTTTAAGGATTCTCTTCTAATGGATTGTTACGTTAGTATCTCGCACTGTTTTAGGATTCCCTTCTGATGGATTGTTACGCTAATATCTTGCGCACTATTTTACGATTCTCTTCTGATGGATCGTTACGTTAGTGTCTCGCGCACTGTTTTAGGTTTCTCTTTTGATGGATTGTTACGTTTGTATCTCACGCACTGTTCTAGGATTCTCTTTTGAAGGATTGTTACGTTAGTATCTCGCGCACTGTTTATGGATTCTCTTTAAATGGATTGCTATGTTAGTATCTCGGGCATTGTTCTTGGATTCTCTTTTGATGGATTGTTACGTTAGTATCTTGCGCACTGTTTTAGGATTCTCTTCTGATGGATTGTTACGTTAGTATCTCACGCACTGTTTATGGATTCTCTTTTGATGGAATGTTACGTTAGTATCTCGCGCACTGTTTATGGATTCTCTTTTGATGGATTGTTACGTTAGTATCTCACGCACTGTTCTTGGATTCTCTTTTGATGGAATGTTACGTTAGTATCTCGCGCACTGTTTATGGAT